AAAGGAGGAAATAAGGTTGCAGATACATTAAAATTGCTTACCAGCTGACTTTAAAACAAGATTACACTGGGTTATCAGGATGAGCCTGGTGTAATCACAAGTCTTTTAAAAGTGGGATAGGGAGGGTTCGGGTACAAATGGCTGACTATTTAGCTTCAATGTTTGAGACTGAGAAGGATAAGGTTAACTGTTTGTGGGGTTTTTTAAGATCAGGGCCACCCGGCACAAGAACCAGTGCTCAGGCGTCAAAATAAACCGGTTTTCAGCCAGACTGTAGCACTGCTCAACCTGTACTAGAATCCACAGAACACCCCCTAGACCACAGAGGGATCGCACAGCCATGTGAGCGACGCGGAGGTGCAAGAACACTATAACTTCTTTGAGATGTTCACAGAAACCCCTAATGTACTGTTCCAGTAAGGGCTAACAAGGAAGTAGGGAGCAGCCCAGCTGCTGTGGCTCAGTGGTTGAGCGTCGACCTATGAACCAGAAGGGCAAGGTTCAATTCCTGGTCAGGGCCTGTGCCTGAGTTGCAGGCTGGATCCCCAGTGTGCAGGAGGCAGCCAATCAATGGTTCTCTCTCATCATTGATGTTTCCATCTCTCTTTCCCTCTCCCTCTCTGAAATCGATAAAAATATGTTTAACAAAACAAAATAGGGAGCATGGAGTTCATCTTAGAGACTAGCTCGATTGGCATGAACAGACTACAGGTGAAAGCACGGAGAAGGGAAAAGAGGAATATTTTACTGGGAAATGAAGGAAGGGAGAAATGTTGTAAACACTAGAGGCCCAGTGCACGAAATGTGTGCACTCAGGGGGGCGGGGCGCATCCTCAGCCTGGCCTGCATCCTCTCACACTCCAGGACCCATCAGTGAGACATCCTTAGTGCTACCACAGAGGCAGAAGAGACTCCCACCACTGCCTCTGTACTTGCCAGTCAAGAGCCTGGCTTCTAGCTGAGCGGTGCTCCCCCTGAGGGAGCGCACTGACCACCAGGGGGCAGCTTCTGTGCTGAACATCTTCCCCCTGGTGGTCAGTGCACATCATAGAAACCGGTCATTCTGCTGTTCAGTAGATTTGCACATTAGCCTTTTATTATATAGAATGAGACATGTCCCCCACCCTCCAGGGGCCACAGCCTTGAAAAATGAGAGACAAAAAGGAGGGTGTCAATCCTTCCAGGTCTGGTGATGGGATCTATAAAGGCACACTCTCACATTCGCATAGCCCAGCTGTGTTTTCTTCAAAACAATGATCAGGTGTGAAGTGATGCCACTTATTTCCTCTGTTGGCCTCTCCTCTGGAGATTAAAGCCCATGGAACAGAGGCCCTGGCCAGCTTGTCATTGCTGCAGCACAGAGATTTTCAACCGGTGTGCTACAAGAATTTTCAAAACCTGACTATTTAGTCTGGGGCACTGACTCCTTTTCCCTTAGATTGTCAAATTTTAAAAAATGACAACAGCCAACACAATAGCCATCGGTATGAATGGATCAAAATTATACCTTTTTTTTTTTTTTTTTTTTTACAGACGGGCAAAAAATATATTTTTAGGTGTGCCCCAGAATTTTAGTAATTAATTTATGTGTGTCATGAGATGAAAAAGGTTGAAAATCGCTGCTGTAGAGCAGAGCCTGAAACAGTGCCCACATACACAGAAGGGGCTCAGTTTGCTGAACAGCGGGCAACATCTCTTTAGGCTGCCTAGATAGTAGTACGTTCTGCTGGGGCTCTGTCTCATCTCTGGGCAACCTCCTTTTGCTTCTGGGATTTAGCAAACCGTATATCTGGTGACCACATCCGGCTGCCCAAGTAAGTAAGGGCAGAGCAACGAAGGCATAATGGAAGGAAGTCCCTGCACCTGGACAAATCTCCCCCTTCCAGCTTCCCCTGACCTGCAGGCTTCAGACAGCCAGGTACATTGTTGTTGTTGTTGTTGTTATTGTTGTTTAAATAAATCTTTATTGTTGAAAGTATTACACATGTCCCCTTTTCCCCCATTGTCTTCTCCAACTCCCCTTCCCCCATAAGCCCTCACCATCCTACTATCGGTGTCTGTGGGTTATGCACATACGCACATGAGTTCATTGATCTCTCCACCTTCCCCTGCATTCCCTCTGAGGTTTGACAGTCCGATCAATGTCTCCATGTCTCTGGGTCTACTTTTGTTCATTAGTTTATGTTGTTCATTAGATTCCACATATGAGTGATATCCATGCCAAGTGTAAAACAGAAACTCTCGCTCCTTACTATCACTTTTACTATTAAAAAAAAAAAAAACCTAATTCCCTCCACAACTGCACACTCCCATCCCACCCACCCCATGCAACCAAGAGCAGCATTAAAAAACTATCCATCCTCTAGCTCAGCGGTCGCCAACCTTTCAGACCTCACTGACCACCAGTGTTCCGTTGGTGACTGCTGCTCTAGCTGGTTCTCATCTTTCTGCTTCGGTTTTGGAAATTTAAATGAACACAGCTTTTAAAAATGATGTGGAGTGGGAAGAAAATATAAGTGCAAGAGAAAAGAAGGATCCCTTGAAAGTTAAACTTCTGAATTCCCAACGGGATGACTGCAAAGGTATCTATCTATGTGCATAGCCCTTCTTCCCCTCCAGTGGCCCGTAACCCCACAGTCCTGGGGAGCCAGGCACAGAAGTAGCTTGGTGAATGCTGACTCTGAGCCTAAGTATGTGTACACAGGAGGCTGACAATGGGGAGAAGGGGCCTGGCCGCCCACGCCCCAGAGCCAGACTGAGCTCACACTGGGGATTCCAGGAACAAGGAGGCGGCACCTTAGGCAGACAGGAAATGAATGGCTCCCCAACAAAATATCCGGGACACCTCATTAGCTGTATTACTAATCCTCTGGATCAAGATTCTGGCTGCATCCTTATCAGTAAAGAAGAAAGTGGCCAGCCAAAATTACGCTGCTATGTGTCACCATAGAGGACGGAGGTGCGGGATGTGACACCTCTCAGGTCAGTTCTTGTTCCCGAAACACCAGAACCTGGGGGTGAAAAGCAGGTTCTCACGGTGGCCACTGCAGGGGTCTCCGTTTGGGACCCCAATGCCATCTCTGCATAATCCTCTTGTAAACCAAGGACAGCAGAGAGGTCCAGCCAGCCAACAAAAGGAACAAAAGGGCCGGCCTTGTCCAATTCTAGAGCCTCCGATCCATGGCTACCAAATGCTTAGTGCGAGAGTCAGCGTAAGCATAAAGGATCTTAGAGAAACCTCACTCTGTGGCTTGGAGCTGGAGCAAAGAGCAGGGAAGATGCTATTTTTACAGCGCGATTGTAATAAATTAGTTAAGACATTAACTGCCATTAATAACAAAAAGACAGCAATAAAAAAAAAGGAGGAAGGAAGGAAAAGAAGTAAATGTACCTCAGTGGGCATCATTAATTCCGTTTTAAAGAGAGAATTAGTTAAAATTGTGTTTATTTGGCAGAAGGGCCCTCCCAAACTGGCAGTTTTAAAAGTCTAGACAGGCCGAGACCGGTTTGGCTCAATGGATAGAGCGTCGGCTTGGGGACTGAAGGGACCCGGGTTCGATTCTGGTCAAGGGCATGTACCTTGGTTGCGGGCATATCCCCAGTAGGGGGTGTGCAAGAGGCAGCTGATCGATGACTCTCTCTCATCGATGTTTCTAGCTCTCTATCTCTCTCCCTTCCTCTCTGTACAAAATCAATAAAATATATTAAAAAAAATAAATAAATAAAAATAATAAAAAAAATAAAAGTCTAGACAGGACCTTTGGGTATTTATGTCAAGTTTAAGATGTGCTGCCATTGAAAAAGTCAGACCTTCAAGTTTCAGGCTTCTAAAAAGAATGTCCACCGAAAGCATGCCTTACTATTTAGTTTCTTATTTACTTATTCTTTTTCAGGGGAAGGGACATATATTCTAGTGCAACACCACATTACCACTGTAAACCGAACCCTTGAATTGAGAACTCCTAAGTTGTACTTTTGGGAAATCATAAACACCACACACACACCAAAAATAATTCATTACCTATCTTACAAATGCTGCTGCAGAAAACCGCTCCACGTTTCATAACTCGTAAGAGCCCAGATCAAGCAGATGATAAAGAAACTGGAAGATGCAGATATGCTTGGAACTAAGAGAGGAGACACTTGAGTTCTGTTTCTTGCTTTCCTGACTGAACCTTGAAGGCTCCGTGCCTCAGTTTCCTTTTTTGTGGGGTGGAAGGTGGTAACTATACTAGCCTTGCTCACCCCCCAAGTCTGTTGTGGATATGAAATGAGCACTGTGTGTGACAGCACTTTAGTGAGTCAGATCAGCACCTGCAGGCTCCCTGCAGGCCCAGGACGCTCTGCAGCCAGACACTGCCACAGGGCACACAAGTGGCACCTCCTCGCTGGAGCCAGGGGTACTTTTTTTTTTTCCTTTGTGGTTACCTTTATTCTTTTTTGATTATTATTATTCAGGTATTATATGTGTACATATGTTACTATTGCCTCCCCCCCATTCCCATACATGCCCTCCCTCCCCCAGAGTTTTTCGTCCATCGGTTTTGCTTATATACATGCATACAAGACCTCCGGTTGATCTCTTATCTCCCCCAGATCTCCCAAACCTCCCCGCTGTAATTTGACAATAAAGAACATTATAAAGTGATGAACAAAAAGATAGATACAGAGACAGTAAAGCAACAAACAGACTGTCAAATTACAGCCAGGGGTACTTTTTAAGCTCGACTGCACCGTCGCTAAATACATACACCACGAGGCTGAACAACGAAGAGTTTCCCAACCAGCAAAAGACAACGAGTGGGAACGTGCACTGGGACTGGGGGCCTGAGCCCTGAAATGGGGCCACCTGCCCTGGGACGAGGGGACTCTGTAAGGTAACCGGGGAGGCCTGCCCTGGGGAACCGGCCCCGGGGGGGGAACCTGCCTGGAGGACTCCCGCCCTGGAAGACCCCTGCCCTGGAGGACCCCGGCCCCGGGGACGCCTCCCGGACACCCACCTGCGGTGTCCCAGATGGAGATGTGGTAGGAGCGCCACTGCTTCAGGTAGAAGGCGCCGCCCACCGTGCTGACCGTGTCCGCGAAGCGCCGCTCCATGTACCGCTGCAGCAGCGACGTCTTCCCCACGTTCATGTCCCCCAGAAGCACGATCTTGCCGTCGGGCTTCCTCATGGCCGCGCAGGGAGCCCCCGCGCCCCCCGGACCCCGCGCCGTCCGGCCCGTGCGCCCGGGCGCAGCGGGAGCAGCGGGAGCAGCGGGAGCAGCTGGACGCCGGCCCGGGACGGCGCGCACCGAGATGGCTCGAACCCGGAACTCGCGGGGACCTGGAACTCCCGGGAACCCCAAACGTGCGGGGGGCCCCGGGGACTTTCTGGCCCCGACGTCCGGAAGCAGAAGCGCGTGTCGGCGCGGGGGCCACCCCAGAGGACTCGTCCGGAGCCCCGCCCCGCGCCCTGCCCCGCCTCTCCCCGGGCCCTGCCTCCCGGCCCGCCTCCCGCTTCCCGCTACTGCACCCCCTGCCCCCTCCGCAGGCCACACCCCCCCCTGAGTCTGGGCACCCTGCCCCACCGCGCCCCAGGCCCTGCCCGCCGCTCCTCCCCCTCCCCGGACAGCTCAGGCCTCCCACCCACCGCCCCCCATCCCCCAAGCCCATCCCCACACCCCACTTCCCTCCGGGCCGCCTGGCACCGCCCTTTCCCTTCCCGCCGCCCCCTTCCCACCTGGCTTCCCGGCACCAGTGACCTCTGAGCCCTGAGGTCCCAGGCTCGTGAAGGGGGCCCCTTGCCGCCCAGTGCACCCAGGGCTTTCCGCGTCGATTTCCTAATCTGTGTGTGTGTGCAAACGTAGCCACTAGTCAGGGTGATTTACAAAAGTTTATATTCAATGAGCATCTTGGAAAACCCATTCTGATAGTGTAGGCAGTTAGACACCAGCTATGGAGGAACACCAGGGTGGAAAGCTCCAGAGGTGTGGACCCCGGACCTTTCCTCCTAGAGATAACATCTCTACCTCAATGGTGTTTCAGTTCCCCCAGAGAAGCAGCAAAACCCAGGTCCCCCTCAGGACCAGCTGCATTGAATAACGAGCCCCTGCCCCAGTACAGCCAATCAATCAGTGGAGACCACAGCCCTAAGAGGCCACACCTGGAAAACTGCTGAAGATTCTATTAAGATCTCCTGGGACCTCCACTCATCTCTCCACCCCAAGCTTCTTGCCACTAGCGTCTTCAATCCTAAGCTCCAAGGGCCCTTCCTTTACCACTCTAGCTTGTAAAAAGTAATTCCTACCTCTCTGGTGAACCAAATAAATATTTTCTTACAGTTGGGGTCTTTCCTAGCCAGAACCCCCAAGCACCAAGGTAGCTGAGCCCAGGTTTGGTCTGACCCCACCTGTGCCATTCTGCCGCCTATAACACTAAGATTCTGGCTGTTAATGGTTAGAAAGCTGGGGAAGAGGGGGGACTGTAAAGGAGGGGGTTCTAGTGCCGTTTTTGTAGTTGTTGTTTGTTTTTATCACTTTTACAAGAAACCGTTTTATTTTAGGTTATATCTGAAAAATGGACAGCCATCGCCATTTAAAACTTGAGAGTGAAAAATTTGACTTTGGCAATTACAATGACAATTAGCAAAATCTTTCCTCCTTCCTTTTTTTTTAGTAGAGTAAACCTTGAAATGCTTCTAAAATATTCAGCGTGTGGGATTTGGTATTTATTTTAGAGAATGCTGATGCAGAACTCGGAGCTCTAGTTTGAACACCGGTAGACAGTGTTGTTACAGAAAAGTGAGAAGCGAGGAAAATTCCAGGACACGCTGACTAGGCAAACTAAGACAGTTTGCAGACACCTAGTAAATCCTATCTTCCCTAAACCAAGGCACTTAAGAGTAAATGGTTTGTGCCTGGCCTGTGTGGCTCAGAGGTTGAGTATCAACCCAGGAACCAAGAGGTCGCTGGTTCAATTCCTGGTCAGGGCACATGCCCAGGTTGTGGGCTCAGTCCCCAGTAGGGGGTGTGCAGGAAGTCTCTGGTTTCCCAGTGAACCAAAGCAGCCCAGCCGAGGCTCTCCTGTTGCTTCTTCTATGTCCTGTTGCTTCTTCTATGTCCTTCCTTGTTTCACGGTCCTAAGTATGTATTGGCTGCAGTCAATACATTCTTGTTTGTTTTTCTACACCTTGTGTCTTGATTAAAATCTTTTCTTCAAAAAGATAAGAACACGAAGGTGTCCTCCTCTCCCCGGTGACAGTGTGCAGGGAGGCTACTGTGTGTTTTCTGTGAGAGGGAATGGGTCCTGGGGCCTCTTCAGCAAATGCTCTGAAACTCAGATGGGGCAGAGGTGTGAGGGCATCTCATCCATTGCTCATCTCATGCGTGGAAGATTACTATTAGACTTACCTTCCGTAACTACTACTTTGTGCAGAGATCTGCCATGCTATGTCCTAATCCACAAGTTGGAACTCTGCCCGCCATTATCTGCTCCCCTAACACACACAAACACACACACACTGGTCACCCTTTTTTTTTATGATAGCTTTCCCATCCCCTTTCCTTTTATGGCCCTATCCTGCCTTACTAGTATTTTATCTAAAATTGTATTGCTTATTCACATGTTTAACTATGCCAGCTTCCTCTCCAGAATGTAAGCTCCATGAAGAAGAGACTTTTTTTGTTTTGCTTACCGCTAGGCCTGGCGAAGAGTGTCTAGCACATAATAGCTGCTCAACAAAGCTTTGAGTCAGGAAAGAATGGGTAAATCCATCGTCCTGGTGAGGCCAGAAGTGATGCCTTGCAAGCACATCACAATCAGCCATGCTCCACACCCTCTCTCTCTGAGCTTGCCTTACTGAAAATCCCCTCAGTCCTGTATCTGTGTGAGTGACCCATAAGCCCAGGTGCCCTTCATCAAATCACCTTCCCGAGCAAGGCCCCCCACCTCCATGAGCCCTTTTGGGTTCTTTTCTCTGCCTTCCCACTACCCTCTCGGCCTCTTCCATGCAGTTCATTATCTTATGGTTCCTTCCTGTAGTCATTTAACAATTCCCTAGAGACAGGGCGCATGTTTTAAGCTAATTCTGTGCCCCAGCTCACTACACTTTCTCAGCACAATCCATCATTCACTAAATATGAGAACATTGGCCCATGGGAATGGGGTCTTCCGTGTTTTGTTCTCTGGTGTCTCCCAAGTGCCTAGAACTGGAACATAGTCCATCAAAGCCTATTTGAATACATTTGCTGATGAACCGAATGTTTTCTCCACTTGAAAAGCTGCTGCCTTCAGAGCAGAGTCTGCAGCACGTAGCCCAGTGCACGGGATGTGAAGTCACTCAAGTTTATATGGTTTTTTCTTTTTAATTTTTTTTAATTGTACAACACTTTGAAAAAAACAAAAAACTAAATTTAACCAGGAGAATGTCTCCAACTTTCCACCACTCATAAAAATTTTCTAAAAGGTGGTCAATGGCCTTATTCATACTCAGGAAGCAGAGCTAAGGAAGGAGGTAAGCTCAGAGTTAAGGGTCTGTTTAAACGAGCTACTGACATGCCAAGTGCAGTGTTTATTTTGCCTGGATTTAAATCACTGGCCTGACGGGGTTATCCTTTTTCCAATTGCTAGATGAAATGTACCTGAGGCCAAGAAAAGTATGCAGTTTCTTTTTCAAAGGGATTCAAACTGAGCAATTTGGGGACCGTCTACAGTTCAAGTAAAAGAAATAAGGAAATGTGGTTTCTTCTCATGGATTTTGCAAAGTAGCTTGGGAGCATTCCTAGGTACTTCATTGTAGGACAATTCTACCTTTTAAAGTGATTTCCTTGAAAACACACAAGGTCCTTGCCTGGTAGCTCAGTTAGTTAGAAAATGGTCCTGATATGCCAAGGTTGTGGGTTCGATCTCCAGTCAGAACACATACAAGAAACAATCAATGGCTCGGCCAGCTTGGCTCAGTGGTTGAGCATGGACTTATGAACCAGGAGGTCATGGTTCCATTCCCAGTCAGGCTCTTCCCACATGCCCGGGTTGCAGGCTCTTTCTCCAGTGTGATGCATGGAAGAGGCAGCCGATTAATGATTCTCTCTCACCATTGATGTCTCTCTCTTTCTCCCCCCCTCCCTCGATTCCACTCTGAATTCAATAAAAATATATTGGGAAAAGAAACAACTAATGAACCCATAAATAAGTGGAACAATGAATTGACATTTCTCTCTCTCTCTCTCTCTCTCTCTCTCTCTCTCTCTCTCTCTCTTTCTCTCTCTCAATCTATAATAATGAAGTCATAATATGCTAATTAGACCAAAGTTGGGGCTGTGAGTGCCGAGCCCTTTGCACAAATTTTATGCATCAGGCCTCTAGTTAATGCATTAAAAAACAAACAAAAAACCTGCCTATCTATTATGTATTCATTCAGCAGGTAGGAATTGAAGCACTTAGCCCTGACATAGGAATAGAGCAGTGAGAAAGACAACCAATAAAATAAACAAGCAAAATACACAGTGTCCTAAATGATTAAGAGTTAAATGGACAAAAATAGAACAGGGAGGTAGACAGAAAATGGGTCTGAGAATGGACACAGGGGGTTAAACAAAATCCTCAGGACTCCTTCCAGCTGACAGGTGGCTCTGCCAGCCAAGAGGTGACTCTCATCCTCCTGGTCCTGGTTGGAGCTCCAGCCATCACAACCATATTCCAAGCAGCAGGAGTAAGAAGGGTGGACAGAGGCGCATGAACCTATTGGCACATGACACTTTTGCTTACATGCCATTGGCCAGAAGTTAGTCACATGGCCCTACCTAACTGTAAGGAAGACTGGGAAATGTAGTCTTTAATCTGAGTCATTCTGTACCCAGATAAAAAAATCTCTAATTATGAAAAGAGGAGGAAGGATACATGTAACAAATTCAATTGGTACTGTTCAAAATACATTAATACCAAAAATATTATTTTCTCCCAGCAATAAGTCTGAATTATGTGCCATATCTAACTGATAATCTCACTCAGTTCAGTAGACACACACTGCTATTCTACAGAAAAGAATAGCAGTGTGTGTATATGTGTGTGTGTGTGTGTGTGTGTGTGTGTGTGTGTGTGTGTTGATTATTTATCCTGCTTGCCCAACACCCTGTCAACAGTGGGTGAGAAAGTTTGATCTTTACTCAGGTATTGGGTGAAAATATATCTCATT